CCCCCCCTCCTCTAGCGCCGCTCAGTCAACGGCCCGAGCGGGACGTTACGACGGTCGGTTTACTTAGCCTTTGTTGAGCTTAGAGTTTTTGTTAGAGCCATTACCCAGATATTGTTATTACCGATTATGCGATCGTCATTATTTTTTTATTATCCACTCGCGGATATTATCATATGATTGTCGAGCAGATATTATTATCACTACTGTTATTATTACTTCTTTATTCGGTTATTTAATTTATTTGGTTATTATTTAATTATTGCTATTATTGTATAGGAAAACAACTATATAATATTACTTTCGAGTAATAAATGTTAGTCATAATAATATCTGTTCGAGAATCGTGTGATAATATCCGCGAGTGCATAATAACGGAATAATGATGATTGAATAATCGGTAATAACAATGAATAACAATAACTGGGCAACGACGGTAATAACTGAACAAAGACGAGGTAAAGAAATTATCGTAACGGCACGCCCGAGTTGCTTTCCTATGTAATGCGTAATAACAATAATTAAATAATAACCTAATAAATTAAATAATAATCGAATAAAAAAGTAATAATACTCGAATATTAAATGGTAGTGATAATAATATCTGCTTGACAATCGTGTGATATCCGCGAGTGAATAATAAAGAAATAATGATAATCGCATTATCGATAATAACAATAACCTGGGCTCTAACAAAAACTCTCAACAAAGACTAGGTAACAAAGACTAAGTAAACCGACCGTCGTAACGTCTCGCTCGGGTCGTTGACTGAGTGGTGCTGAGGGGGGCGCGCAGTCGGGTCATGCAAACACGCGTGCGTGAACACGTGCTCGAACGTCACACCATAGCACTATCAACCGTCGAGGCGAACGCATTGGGAGTTATTGCCGCGTTATTTTCTAGATTATTCCGCGCCGATTTTTAATACCACGTATCGACTTCGCGACAATTGAGGCGACAATTAAGACAAATTAAGATGCGTACTCCGCACGCGAGTAGTGTTGCGGGCTTTACCGCGACAGGTAATTACCGCGTTTCATTTCATTTACGTTTTTACTTGTTAGATAGAGAAACGTCGCGATCGAGTTCCACAATGCCGATCAAATATTATCATCATCCATTTGATATTCCAATATTATTACTTCTTTATTCGATTATTATTTAATTTATTCGGTTATTTAATTATTTCTATTATGCATAGGAAAACTCGGGCGTGCCGTTACGAGGATTCCTTTACAATTTCTTCGTCTTTGTTATTTTCGTCACTACGATAAACAGTTGCGTGGACTCTAAGGAAACTATATATATATACACTATATATATACACTATATATATACACTATATATATATATATACACTATATATATACACTATGAATATTCGAACGTTGTGAAAAGTGCGATAAAAGTACGGTGCCATCTCGAAAAATATCCGTGAATATATCTTTCGCTCTTTTTTATCATAATTATTAGAAAACCTAACCGTATATAATTATAAACTTTTCGTATCTTTTTTGGTATCGAAATTAAAATCTGAAAGTGTAGTAGTCTTTGAAGTGTAGATCTTTGAAATTTTCCTGATTGGAGCATCCACAGTTTCGGTATGTACAACCTGCAGAATGTTTGTATTAAACAAATACTGATAGCTCAAAATTTAAATTTAAATATATTTTTTTCGTTTTTGTCAGATATTGAGCAATACTCAAATTTACTTTTGCATGTACTTTTGTTTTGTAAAAGCGTTTGTAATTCTGTGCAAGCAACAAAACGTAAACTTTGCAAAAAAAGTCAATGTTATGTCGGTAAAGTTTTCATGTCCGGCATCCCCTTAACCGACCTGAGGTTGCTAAGGAGAGGAGGGAGATATCGAAAAATAAAATCCAAAGAATCATCCCGCGTCTCGTGCGGGAGCAAGATGACCGGTGTTGAACTTCCCGGAATTTACGACTGGGCATTATGCAGACGGCACTTGCATTAAATGCACCGACAGCCCGCGTTGTATGCTCTGAACGGAAAAAAACGAGGATGCTGGAAAACGCGCGAACGGCGAAAACTAATTGGCGAACGGCTCGGCCTGTGCGACCGGTAGGCCAAATAGTTTTTATGTGCCTGCTCTGTCGCGCGTAACATCCGGTGAGGAAGCGCAAATAGGGCGTTAGATCGAACGTACGAGAATCTACGCAAAAAGCGACAAAGCATGCAAATTTGTAAATATGGAGATTCCGAGGTGATCCGCGATGCAAATTGCTGGCACGTCATATTATGCGCGGGATGTATGTGTTATTCAAAATTATAAATTACCTCAATTCCCGCGCGTGCACATTTAATTGATTTAAAAATGGATTTTGAATTGCGTATAATAATAAAAATAAATCGGCACGTGCACGCTAACCGTATCTGTCCGAATATTAAGGATATCGGGCGTGATTAAACTGCACTCGATTCGAACGAATGCGAATTTATGCAGGCTAAATTTTCCCTCTCGTAATCATCGTTAATTTTTTATGGAGAGAAAATATATTCCCTCCCCGTCGCGCAATTACCTCGATGCGCCAACATAAAATTCGTCATTATTATTAACTCAAAGCAAACACGTTATGAATTGAAACGAATTTGTGGCAATTCGGCGACTCCATAAATCGACATACTCGGGGTCAAGCCCTTACACACAAAGCGTTTCAATTTGTCGCTATTCATTTCACACTTTGGGGCAATGCATCATGCAATCTAAGGGGGAGAAGGGTCGCTTTTTCATTAATCTCCCTTTCGAGAGAGTACCCGTTTTTCAATTACTCGCGCGCGCGCGCGCGTTACTTCATATTTTCTTTCTAAATCAGAAACAATGAGTTGCACTGACACGCGGCATACAGTTATACGAACACGATTGCAAGCGTTGCAGACTCTACAGAACGACAGAAACGGAGAAACGGTCGCAGGTAAAAAGGAAAAGAGAGAAAAGTCGATATTTCAAAGCGACAACTGATTAATCAAGCAAAATAAAAGACTTGTCCTTTGCCAAAGAACGTACGTTCATACAATCGCGATCATTCTACGCTTTGACTATAAACGAAGGGCGCTTTTACGAAGCGCATTTATGTCGGGGCGACCCAGCGCGCTATCAAAATACACAGCAGCCACCGGCGCAAGGCGATTTCCGTGTTTTCTGCGCGAGCGGTCTCTATCATAGTGATTTTGTGTTTCGCTGTTTTATCACGACTATACTCTTGTACAGACATTGCATTCGTGTACAAGATGGCAGACTTGTGCGAAGCTTTGTCATTTCTGCCGTCAGAATGTTTCATGATTTTAAATCGCTTGCGCCTCTGAAAATAAAAATATAGAAATTTAAACTTAATTCTCTCACTCCCCTTCTCTTTCTCGTTGTGTATCATTTACGATTTCATAGCATTAATCATATATTTTAACGTGTAACGTCACAGGTAAAGCTCATGTTAGACATTCTTCTTAATTGTCAATTTAGCAAAAATATAATTTTCGTAACATATCACAATAGATCGGAACAAAAACATTGAATCTTTTAGGAAATTTTGGGTCGATCACTTGAAAAGAGATTCAAGTGAATTGCAGCAATTTTTCATGGACGCGTTAATGAAATGCGCGCGATATATACAAGCGATGCTAAATAGCTTTCCTCGATAATTCCCGAATGTCGGTCGTTAAAGAAAGTGCCGGGGGTTAAGGCGATCTGGATCGACGATTACCCACATTAGGATGTTCGGGGAGGATATTTACGGGCCTAGAAATCGCGGTAGGCCCGACAAACGATCGTTACTATCTCTCAGAGTATATTTATTGCCACCGGGGCGGTGCACCAATTGTTAATTGATGCGGAACACTCGAGTTTCGAGTAGACTGCTCGTCGATTTTGTTCGAGCACAGTCTGTCATTATTATTGGAGGTTTATATTCCCTGTGCAATCGGACCAGGAAACAGTATAGAGAAAATGAGATGTGTCGATATTCTCGCACTGTTATCTTTGATATTTTTGGTTCTCAAATAATCGCCGATTCTCGTCATTTCCCAAGACGATCCGTCGTTGACCGACTCCCTTAGAAGATAATCGAACGAGAATGTTACTTTCCTCGTGTGTGCGTACGGTAATGTTATCGATTCTTCGCGTCACGCTCCCTCCCTCCCCCCTCTCTCTCTCTCTCATTCTCTGCCCATCCTTTCCACGGTCCCGACAGGCTCTCACTGCGTTCGAGGAGTTTCTAACCGATTGTGTACACAGTCCCGATAACGAGTAGCTCGCGCATATACAGCGTTGAACACTAAGCAAATATTGAGCCTCCATCGACCTGACCTAATGCGATCCGCTGA